AGCTGGCAAACTCCAGAGATGATCTTGGCATAAAAACATTTTACAAATAGTGCACTATCTCCACCTTCCAAGGCATTGCAGTGCTTTATGATTCAGTGTTGCCTCCCTCACCGGTTATTATTCCCTTTTTCTTTGAGTTCCAGTCCATGAAGAGATTTCATTTTTAAGATACAGAATGCAAAATAATTAAAAACTACAACCTTCATCTTCTCTACTCCAAACAAGTGAGAGGTATTTTAACTGGCACTAGGGCCTGATAATTTAGATTTTAGGGTGAGGCACTATGGCAACTGGAAAGGGAAAGGCAAGGCTTAGATGTCCTGGCTTGGCACAGTCTGGCTCTGCGGCCCAAAACTACTGAGTGCAGTCTCTACATCTCTCCTTTGGCCCCTGGCAAGGAGTGCAGATCAGGAGTCAGATCCTGGATGTTTTTCTAAGGGACAAATGCATTGTAGACAGCATCTCGGTTTTTATTAAGGTAATATAAGAAGAGTTTGATTTTTCTGCAGTAGAAATTATTGTTTGAGCTCTTCGCATAAAGAACTGTTCAACTGAACTATGGTGACCACTCAGTGCACTAGTGCCAGACTTTCACAATAAAAATTTGAACAAAGAAAGTAACCTAGAAATTTTGAAGGATATGTTTAATGTAAAAAATTTGAATGCCAATTTTATCAGGTCTCTAGTTGCAGCATGAGAGGATAATTGATATAAGTGATATATCACATGAAGGAACCTGTTTTTTTTTTCTTCTTCTTTTTTCTTCTCCTATATTTGTAGTGGTGGTTACAATGCAATTGCATTATTTTTTGAAGTACACCCTACTCTTGGTTGCTTGATTATGTCACTGACTGCTTGATTTTTTTTAGTCATGTACTTAATAGAAGGGAAAGATCCTTTCAGAATATTTACTTTACCTTTTTTTTTTTTTTAATTTTAAGGGTGGGCCAAATATCTCAGTGGATTAAAGTGCCTGCAAGCAGGCACAGGGGCTGGGGTTCAATTCCAGGGCCTACTATGCCAGCCCCACCCCTGGTGTGTGCTGAGACAGTGATTGAGATTGGGCGTCATGGCACATGCCTGTAATCCCAGCTCTTGCGAGGCTGTAAACAGGAGGATCACACGAGTCTGATCTAGTAGTGTGACCCTGTACACCCTGTAGTCCCTTCTCTAAAATACAAAAATAAATAAATAAATAAAATTTTCAGAAGCTCTGGGTAAGATGAGTTTATAAAATTTTATAACTCTAGAAAATTTACAGAAGTCTTTGAAGTGTAGATACTAGAATTTCTCATGAAAGAAACCCAAAAAGTCCCCCTTTCCTCTATTTTTTCTAACTAGCATTGATTTTTTTTTAAATGAAGTTTTTGTTTTTGAATACTGTTTTGCAGAAAAATGAAGATAGTACAGAGGCTCTGTATCCTACCACCTCCAACATTATCATTTTACATTTGTGTGGTTGCATGTGTTTAAAATAGCAAGTGAGTACTGATACATCAATATTGGCTAAAACCTATTCTTTGTTCTTATTTCCTTACTTTTTTTTTAAATTAACATCCTTTCTCTATTTCAGAATCCTAGCCAGGAAATCACACTTACATTGTGTCATCATGTCTCCTTAGATTTCCTTATAGCTGTGACAGTTTCTGGCTTTCTCCGTTTTACAACCTTGACTATTTGGAGAAGCATAGGATTAGAAGTTAGGATTTTGTTTTAAATGAACTTCTTCCACAGAGATTTCTATGTTTACACTGGAGCTAATGGTTTTTCAAGAGAGGACAACAGAATGTATACTACCAATATGACTTATGATGTTGACCTTCATCTCCTGGAGAAGGGAGCGAAATATTTTTTTAAAGCAATTCATTACTTGAAAATCTGCCAAGGAGAAAAGAGTTAAAATAAACATGATAAAACAATAAATAATCCATAAGCAAACAAACATGCCAAGGCTTTACCCTGTGACTGCCAGCCCTCATTAAGTAAGGGAGGTTTGCTCTTCTAGTGTTTTTTTCCTCCTCCCCAATTATCCATCTAACCCAGCCCTCTGTGCCTTCATGCCTCTATTTTTCTTCCATTTAATATATGAGTAAAACTAGATTTATGTGAGGATATATTTATATTATTTCAGAGATTAAAATGCCACAGAGCTTCTAGAACCTTCCAGAAACTCCGATGTTGAGTTTGGGGCTATGAAGAACATTTTTAAGTGAAGACAGAGGTTAGTTGCAACCCCTATCCTTCACATAAACAGAAGGGATAAGACTCATAGAAATGTCAAATAAAATATGCACTGCTGGTGACAAGGACCAGCCATCCAACCCTGCACCTGACTGCCAAGAAATGGGCTTTGTAATGTGCAGACTCCCCAGGAATCGACACAGTTTCCTCCTCTAATTTTTGTGTCTCCCATTTATCTGACCCATTCACATTGCTTCATAAAAACATATTCAATGAATAATAGAGTGTTTAATAGAGATTTGAGATCATATTAAAAATAAAACTCCCAGATCAAAATATCACATTTACCCCATAATCACACACAATTATTATTTGTTCATTAAAATAAATTAATAATAATTACATACTTAAAATTTCCTAGGGTTATTAGTGTGTCAGTCCTGCCTCCAGCTTTTCTTGGGGAGTCCATTTCATTCCCGTAACCTTTTCTTCTTGAAATCTTAAGCATGTACCCCCATCCTTTGATTCCCTAGCTAAGGGAAGGGACAAGTCACTACAGAGACTTGTCCTCACTTACCCAGGGGCTGGCATACAAAAATAAGCTGGACCAGTTAGAACTTTCCCTTGGAAATTTGGACTAAGCAATAAGGAATAAATTGCCAGGAAGCAATTTTACTGAAGCTGTCAAATTGCCGTAGGCTGAACTAAGCCAAAGCCATGTATGAGATGAAGTTGTGAACTGGTATAAGGAGAAAAAAGAGAGTTGGGGGAAAATGACTTTAAAGAGACTTATAAGAGAGAGGTCACAAGAGGGGACATGGAAGAGACCAAAGGAGAGAGACAGGACCCAAACGGGGAACAATCCAGGACCTTACAACTTTCCAGTTCATTTGGGTATGGGTGACTAACCTCAGGTAACACCTGTCCCACTTTCCTGAGATTAACTGTATCTTTCTTCTGCAGGGTTCAAAGAGGTAAGCCTAAAACAATCACTTTTCATAAACCCTGAGTCCACTCATAGATTGCCAAGGTTTTCAAATTCAAAGAATCTCCCTTGCAAAGGGAGCATTTCAAATGCTTTAGAATGTCAAAATTGCAAGTTTATTTCTCAAAAGGTTTGTTTCACTGTAGTAGTACAAAGGTGGAGAAGATGGAAAGGAGGCAGCAGCCACACCTCTGCCATGTTGAGTAACCACATAGGCATGCGGTTTTCCCATCATAGAGGATGTTTATGATGTAACCATCCTAGAGGAGATCAGTTACGTTATGTGCTTCTTGAGCAATAAGTGCTTTGCATTTATTTTTACAACTCTGCAAAAACATGACCCCAAAACATACTAAAACATGCCACAAGCAGAATGCTATGCATAACAACAAATTTATAAGTCACTAGCTATCGAGCAAAAAAAACCTTAAAAAATAAATGTCTGAATAATTTGAATAATATTTCCCTTGAACATAGTTTCTGCTTCTTTTGCATAGTAATTTATTTGTGCCCTTCTAGGTATACTTATTGAGACTTTCTTGGATTCACCTTTCTAATTTGGGAAATGTTTTTAAATTAGCTTATTTTCAAAGCAGAATCACTGTAAAATCTTCAATGAGGTTTTTAAAAAAGGTATTTTTTATAGCAGTGGAAAAAATTGACACTATTTATGCTTTATATATTTGTTGAGTATGAATTTGAGAAGATTTTAATGTTATATTTTGCTTTAAAAGTTGGCTAACACAGTTTAATTAAAATTAAATTTATATAATTACATCAATTGTATGATCCTGCTGAGTTAGAATGGTTCCTAAAATCAACAATGTATCAGCATATAATGACTTAAATTTGGTTGACACTGAAATGGATTTTTATTCTGTTTTACTTAAGTAAAGTCTGATCAAGACCAAGATGTCAAACAGATGGAGTGAGAAACTGGCAAAGTTAGATTATTAAATTGAATTTTGTATAACATTTGAGGTTGAGATTTTGCTTAAGTTGAAAATAAACTTCACATTTTAACCAGTAACTCTCCAAGACAGCATTGCAGTATCCAAAATAACAGCACATTCACCTGTATAACAGGGACAGGTCTTGGGTGGCTTCACTGAGCCCTGCCCAGAGCAAGGCAGCTTTGGGTCATGGATTTCTTGAACCCCTAAAGCCACAGCCATTGCACAAATAATCCTTTATTTAATTATTTCAAAGATTCCCTGACAGGGACTGTGGAAACACCTTGAGTTACTCCTGAGACCCCATCAGAGAATCCAGTAACAGCCCAATTCCCTTTGATCCTGAGAATGTCTTCATCTATACTTGCTTCATAACACAAAGGCTGACACAACATTCACAGTGCTCTAGAATGTTTTGCTAGAGAGAGGGCTCAGTGAACTCTGGGGTCCTTGCTAAACAATTAGGTAAACATGGCAGGAGTCATTTTCTTCCCCCCTCTTCCTCTTTGGCTCTTTCCATCTTTACTATTTCTCAGACCAAGAAGTTGTTTTTTTTTTTTTCTCTCTCTCTCTCTCTCTGTAGTTTTCTTAAAGTACGTAGCTTGTGGCTGTTGCATCAATAATTCCTATTTTATTTTCAGTATGTACTTCTTCCAGACAGTTCCTCAAATTATTATTTTTTATTTTTAACTGTAGAGTTCCTCAAATTCTTAAACTGCTGAAAATGATTACAAATCTTTTCGTGGACAGAGAGACTTGTGACACTCTAATTTTGCAAAGTAGCATTTGCATTTCCTTTTACAATGCTTTTATACTTTTGTCACCAAAGTGACTAAACGTACACCAACCCAGAACCTCCCAGACTCAATCTAGAACTTGAAGCAAGTTGACATAGGCTCAGTGTTTTTTGTGTGTCATTCTTGCACAACAGCCATGCTAATCTTCTCTGTATCGCTCCAATTTTAGTATATGTGCTGCCGAAGCAAGAACTAGGCTCAATGTTTTTTGAATCTCCAATTTTATTCATTTTTCTTTCTGCCTTATGATAGGTAGTCACATGTGCTTTCATATCATTTCCTCTATATCTTCTCCCCAGTGTGGATACTCACAAGAAATATTCCTTGAAATTCTGGGCTAGCTGAAGACTCACATGGATGCATACACTCCAGTTTGAGAAATGGGAGCTAATAATATCAATAGACAAATTCTTACGCTGCATTGTAGAAATGAAGCTACTTCATCTATGATCAACAGCATTCATTAAATATGAAAAATACAAATATTAAGTCCATGGCATTGTATGGTGAAAGCCTTATACTTTTTTTGAGAAACGTGATTTATTCTAACAAGCTTTCCTTAAAAATTTAGTTAAAATAATAATCATTTAAAAAATATCCTCAAGGGCGGATTCAGTCATCAGGTTTAAGGGCTTGACAATTATCACACATGTGAGCTGCACATGTCACTTTGTCCCCCTGTGTTGTCTCATCAACTGTAAATTGGGAATGATGGAACCTACCACACAGAGCTGTGTGATGATTATATTACTACATACAGTATTTAGTAGATACTACAAAACAGGTGCATGTACAAGTATACACATAAATGAAATGGAATTTTATTTTATTAAAGGAGAGGGTCAATTTCAGAGACCCCAGAAGTGGGACTCAGGCTCTGCTCTCCCACATGAATTAGAACTCTGAGAACTGCCCTTTTATCTCCATCAGCCCCTCATCAGATGGTGACAGCAGTGTGCAGTCTGGCATCTCATCCGAATTCTCTGTAGCAGAAGATAAGCCATGAAACCATTGGAAAGGGGCCATCCATCCTGACATCCCTTGTTATAATTATCCTTTAGAAGCCCGGGTCTCAGTCTGGGTGGAAGTGCGCTGGGCCAGAACTGTCAGGAAATGCAGCTGACTGGGCTTTCTCTTCCTGGCGCTGTCTTGTCTGTATGTTATTGTTTCAGGGTATACATTTTTTTCTTTTTTGTTCATTCCTGTGTGTGGACAGGGAAACTTTAACCTTTCAAAAAGGCAGTGATGAAGATGGTTGTTGACACTGACCTCAGAGACACCACTCCATGGAACCAGTCCTGATTGATGTTTTTTCCCATCACCTTGGCCTTTTATTATCTCCTGGAGATAAACCCTATGTGGATATTTTTCATTGTGTGGACTCCCTAGCAACTGAGCTTTGGGAGCTCATGTGGTATTGTTTACAACAACCCTAGTTTCCAGATGAATTTGCTCCCCCTCCATCCCCAAGATAACCTCTCAGAATGAAAAGGACCTGACTGTGGTTGTAAGGACCTGCAATAAAAATAGGTTTCACAAACAGATGCAAAATGTAGGTATTGTGTACATGCATGAACAATGAGAACAAAGTCCTCCTGATGGTGTTTATACATCTGAACTCTTTAGAGTGAGGAGAATCATGGCTGTTGCAGTTCAAAGGGCCCATTGTACATAAGAAGAAGAGTCTCATCTGAGCAGGGGACCTCCAAGGGGACTGCTTGTGTCCACCAGCTGGCAACCTGCCCGAGACCCAGAAATGCAAGGCAACAGCTTATAGCTCATCTTAGAACTTTTGAAGCTCTTGTTCTTTTCCTGCTGAGCCCCGATAGGTGGAAAGATAACAAAGAACATACAAATTTGTGTTTGATATCCGACCGACCTCAGGCCCTGCAAGTGTGGGAGAGAGCTTCTGCTTTGTCCTGCACCAGCCTGCCGCTCCAGGCCCAGGCCCGCTGCGTGAGAGTCACTTCCCTGCATTCTCCAGACTACTGCAGACCACCCCCGCCTGACCAGACCCAGTTTAGCTTGCCATCTGAGTAAGAACTGCTGCTGTGCTCTTTGGAGTCCTGCAGACCCACCAAAACACAACACTGGTGAGTGTGTGGGAGAGCTTTTGGGCTCTCTCGCCTCCGCTCCTCATACCCCTCCAGACCCAGCCCAGATCTAACATACAGG